CGCCAGGGCGGTTGCTGCCATCCGACTACTGTCACTACATTGCCACTGGAACTGCTGCGGCGGCAGCGGCGGCGGCGGGCCCGCTGGCCATGGCATTGCGAAGTGACCAGTGCCCATCGACACTTGACGCGCGCGAGAGCGGTCAGTGCAGCCGCGCCATCGCCGCGGAGGCAGACCGCCACTGCGGCCGCTGCAGCGCGGGGATCGGGATGCCTTTGTCGAAAAGGACGTGGCTGGAGGAGCTGGGCTGCACTGGGGGTCTGCTTATGCAGACGCGGCCCCGTCGACGCCCCAGGAAGCGGGGCCCGCGGCCGCATCTACGGGGCATGGTTCGACGGGGCACGCGCCGGGGCCTGCTGCGGTAGGGCGGGAGGCGGCGCCGAGGCTGAGGTAGCTGGTGGGGCTGCGCTCGGCTGCCACCTGGGCTGGCTCGGCGTTGCCTGGGCCGGGACTGGTTCGCTGTCGCCTAGGCCTGATGCGTCGGCCCCGCGGCGTTGTTGTCCTGCCTGCCCGCTGTTTCCCTGTCGACGATCGCCGTCTGCGTTGCGCTCGCCGTCTGCCTCGCTTTTTCGGGCCATGTGAATTGAGCGCGCGCGCCCGCCCGGTCGGCGCCAGGGCCTGGGCCAACTCGCCCCCCAGTTCCGGATCGCGACCCCCCCTAGAGCGCAGGCTCCCTCGACGCGCGCGTGGACAAGCATGTGCGACGCGGCCCTGCGTTACTGGGTGCGACCATGCCACATTTGTTTGTCCGTCTTCCTCTGCTTTGCTCTAAGTAACGCGCGCAGCTCGGGCCACCGTTGCGACCGCGCTTCTCTCCGGCGGTCCGCGACTCAATGGGCGCCCCCAGAACAACGTCTATGCGTCTCCAGCCTCGCAGTCTGCCGCGGCGCGCGCGAGCACAAAGGCAAACCAATGGCCTCTGCAAAACCTGGGGCGCTGGGCAACAGGCAGGCCTCGCGCGCCTCTTCGTCGCGGCGGCGCACGTCGCCCGCTACGCGCCGCCGCCGCTTGCGGCGCGCAGATCGTCGGGGCCGCGCAGCAACGCGCACTTCCCGGTGACGCTTAACAGAAGATCGCACAACTGTCCGCGCAGGCCATGCCACCTGGGGCCGCCGCGACGATCGCGGAGACAAGACTGCGGCGCTACAAACACCATCTCAAGCAGGAGCACGGCAAGTCGCCCATCGCAGCAAACTTCGCGAAGCGCGCTGTGACCACATGGAAAACCAAGCAAAATATATGCAAACTTTCCGCGATCGAAACTGGCCGTTCGCCGACGCGTCGTGCGCGGGGATAACCGCGACGCCGAACTCGTCGCCGAACCCACGCGCGGAATATTCAGCCATGCAACTTCCCATCCCAGCGCGCCTTCTCCATCGCGCCGCCGCCGCGGCCACCGAGGCAGAAGAAGACAACGCATGCTGGTTCACCGTCCTCGGTGCAACAGAACTGCTCGCTGCAGCACGATGCACCGTGGTCTTCGAGGTGTTCTGGCAAGTTCTCTCGCGCAGAGGCGACGGTTGACCGTGGCGCCATATTCAACGCATCAGAAATCTCCCGCTCGTCCTCGGCGACGTCGCCAGAGTCTTACTATGGACCTGCAGTCGCCGATTCCCCGCCTATTGAATTCGTCGCCGCCGTCAGCGCCGCCGCCCGCCCGAACCTCGCGACGCGGGCCTGGCGCCTATCCTCGCCATCTGGCGAGAGCTCCCGGTCTGTCACCGTGCCCGCGAACGCCCGTGCCATCGCCATATTGGTTTGTCTGGTTTCTGGTCGATATTTCCCGTGTCCGCGGAGCCGGGCATCCAGTTCTGGCTCCGCGTCGAGAGCCCCCCGCCCGCCTCCGCCAGTCGCCGTCGGCCCCCTCGGCCGCCGCTGCCGCCTGAGATCGCCAGCGGACGGCCCCCGCAGAGCTGGCCCAGCTGGGAAGGCGCCCCGGCCTCCCCGCCCCCGCGACCCGCCCCGGCTCGGCATGTTCCCAAGGCAGCGCCAGGGGCATCCCCCGCCGCGCCATAGTGCGGCGCTGCCGCGGCCGCGCTGGCCGCGGAGCAGCGCCAGCCACGGAGAGCGCGGGCCGCGCGGGAGGGCTGCGGGGGGCTGGCCGCTGGGGGAGGAAATTCGACATTGCGATGCTGATTATGATGCCGACGCTTGCGACGGCGGCGGCGGCGCCGACGATGGCCCAATTAATTCACGCGGTGATAGCGGCGATGGCGGCGCGGGCTGCGACGGCGCAGTTGACGACGATCATTGGCGGCGGCGACGCTCGCGGCGACGACGGCAACGGCGAGCAGCTGCTTATGCGAATCATGCATCCCGAGGTGCTTCGCATGAAAATGCGGGCGGCGACGCTTTGACGCCGCGCGCTGCGCCCTTGCAGCTGCGCGACAACCCCGCGCGCTGCCGGCGCGCCCCCCGCCGCCACTGCGGCTTCGAACGTACTTGGGCGGGTCGGCTAGCGGAGGCGTCTGCGGCGGGGCCGCGAAGTCCCCGACGGGCGGCGCCCCCCGAGCCACCAGCGCCGGCGATCCCCCCCCCGTTCGCCAACTGGGTCGCGCGGCTTGCTTCGCCGCCGCCGCGCCTTTCGCGCCGCGCATTTGCCGCCTCTGCGCGCCGCGCTCCGCTGCGCCCCTCGCCCCGCGGCCCCCCGCCGCAGCGGTCGCCCGCGCAGGCGGGGGGTCTCGGCTGGGGGAGAGGCTGATCCACAGCCAATCGCCTCAACAAGATGGCATCGCGATTTCGGCGGAAAGGGGTCACGCGCGGCGCGACTTTCTGGCCAATGGTGGCGCGGGGAAACGCGCGAGTCAAAGCGTGTTTTTTGGGGCCAGGCGCGCGCTCGCAATGAACGGCCCGCGCGAATGCTATCCAGCTCGTCGAGGCCACCACATGTGCGAAATAAACAGAAGTGGCGCGGGAAACGCCCCCGCCCCCCCCCGCCCCCGCGGGATATCATCCGCCATCTAAGTGCTGCAGCACACATGCTCACCTGAACGGCAAGCCCCGCAAAGGAGCGGTAGCAGCCCGAGCGGGCCAGCACTAGTAAAACGAATTTGAGTATCTGAGACAGCCCTAGAAACGACGCGTCCTTTGTGCACTGCCCGATGCTGCGCTGGCCAGCCGGCGATGCCCCCAGGCTGATCCGCCACCTCTGCCACGCGAAACGGGCCTCCGCCGCCGCCGCGACAGCAGCGGCAAAAAACAACGCAGCAAGGGCGAGATGGCCCACTAAGGGTCCAAGGGCGGGCCAGCCTGACCAGAAGTGGGGGGGCCGCGCAGTCTTGAAAAGGCAGATGTCCAAACGTTTTCTTCTCAAGCATCATGGAGATCAGCCCAAGCAGGCTGTTACTCGTAATACGAATTGGAGCCTCTGAAACAGCCCGCTTCTCCTACGGCTGAACAGGAGGCGAGGAAACGACGCATCTTTGTTGCGTTGCCAGATGCTGCGCTGGCCAGCCGGCGACGCTGCAAGGCTGTCCCACCAATTCTTCCACGCGAAGCAAGGGGCTCCGCGGTCAGTATTACCCCAATGGCGAAAGAAGCGGGCGCGCACGGAGCAGGGCTCTGCGTGCCCTCATGGGCCCCTAGCCCGTCGGCGCTGGCCCCGCTGCCGCCGGCGCCTGACGCCTGGCGAGCATGTGGGCCCGACGGGGCGGGCATTGCCCGAGGGCCGACGACCGTGCCGCCCCAGTGCAGACGAATGAGCCAACGGCGCTCTTTCCCACAGTACATAAATTCGCTCGAACGCACGCCGATACATAGACACACTCGTGCCCAGACACTCTCGTGCTCACTCAATCGCTTGTCCCCTTTTTATCAGGTTGGACTCACTCGTGTTCAAACTCACCTCGAACATGTATGCTCATAGTTATGACCCCCCATCAGTAAGCCACGAAAGCTCGGCCACTCGCACCCCGACACAGTCACACTTAGATTGACCTAGATTCAGTCACTCGGACTGAAAATTAACCGTACGTGCCCATATCCACATACACCCAAATCCAGTCAAACTCAAGCTCGGTTCAACCCAGACCAGCTCACACATCGAATCACTACTGATCCGGCCCACTCGAGTTCAGATCCACACGTACTCTGTCATCCACACTCCGGCAATCATAATCAAAGACATTCGCACTCAGACTGAGTCCTAGTCATACTCATTCATGCACAATCAGAGTCAGCCACGCCCCCCAGTCACGCATTGCCAGGCTAACCCATACTCAGAACCACGAGTAATGTAACGCATACTCAGCCCACCTCACACTCGGGCCCGCTCAGTGGTTACACACACGCCCCACATTAGAGACACAAAACAAACAACTGCAAAAACAGAAACTTTGGGAAGTCCGCGAGGATTTCTCGGACCCGCGCTGGATCCCCCTGGCTGGCGCGCGGAGCGAGCCAGAAGCGGCGCCAGAGGCGCCCCCAAGGGTTTCCAGCGCTGATCCGAGAAATCCGAGCGGAGTCTGGCCCTTCAGTTTTAGACGCCCGCGATGAGTACGGGAAAAATGAATGCCCCAAAACGAACGTTGTGCAAAACCGACAGCAGCCGCTGCGGGCAGGCGGCCTTCTGCCTCAAATGGACAAGGGCCGCGGCGACGCCGACAATCAATCCTGCTCAGAATAAGCAAGGGCTGCCGTTGGGTTTTGTACCCGTGCTGTCCGTATCCATCTCTATCGCCCCCGGGAGGGGGAGGAGGAGGAGGAGGAGGAGGAGGAGGAGGAGGAGGAGGAGGAGGAGGAGGGGGAGGAGGAAGAGGAGGAGGAAGAGGAGGAGGAGGAGGAGGAGGAGGAGGAAAAACGCCACATGTGTACACAGAAGGTCTGACCAACGCAAAAAGGAGGAGGATGATGATGAGGATGAGGAGGAGCAGGAGGAGGAGGAGGAGGAGGAGGAGGAGGAGGGGCGGGACCACCGCGGCGCTCGTGAGCTAAGAACAATCGCGAACCCCGCGGCCCCTCCCGAGCAGGACTTGGCCCTCTCGGGCAGGCGGGGCGCGCGCTCAGATGCGCGGGCCCATTTTGCCCGTCCTCCTGCCGGCACGGGCGGCGGTGGGCCCCTCAGCCTCCGCCGTCCCCAGGAGTGGCCACTGCCTGCCCCTCCCCATCCAACAAGACGAAGCCAAGACGAGGGTAGCATTGGGTGAGGATGTCTCGGGCGCCGCGACCTTCTCAGAACGTTCCGGAATGCCGTGAAAGCGTTCCAGATAGCGCTGGGACGGATTCATCCTCGTCCTAGCCCCGTCCGCTCCAGCCCTCCTCAGCGCACACCCACCCACCCCCAGGCCTTACGCTCCCCTTCCTCTCTCGTCGCCCTCCTCTTCGGACTTGTTCCCTCCCTCTCCCCCCCCCCTCCAAGAACTCCCCCCCCGCCCCCCATTCCTGTCCTCTCCCGCCCCCCTCTACTACTCAGGCAGTGCGCCTGGAGGGGATTGGAACGGGTTGGGGGGCATCTCAGAAAAGCAGGGGTGTTTCTTGGAGGCCACCCCGCAGCCCAAAAGGCCGTTTCAGAACCCCCCGATCCCCTCTACGGGGCCGCCCTCCCTTCTCATAAAGCCGCACCATTTCTTAGGGGCGACGAATCGGCACCACCACCGACCACCGCTAGGAACCAGGAAGGGTCCACCTGGTGGCGCTGTCCCCCTGTTTCGCGACGCCCCGATCAGAGCAACAATCATCGCGCCACCATGAGGAAAGCCGAATTTGGAACGGAAGGGGCTGTTCTGCTGTTCTGGCCACGGCAAGCCTCGGCCACGATAGTCATTTCCCCGTAGCCTGGTGGTGTTTCTCGGCCCCCCCCCTCCTTCAATCTCTCCGGCGAGCCTCCCGTTGGCGCTGGCAGCGACCCACCCATGTCGACGCCGCCCCGCGCGATCCCCCTGCCCCTCTTCTCCTGCGTTTCCTTCATCGACTCGCCTCGCGTCGACGAAACTTCCATATCCTCCTGCCCCACTCCTCCGACCCCTCACTCCGGTCAAGGCCTGCTCTCTTTCTCTCTCTCTTTCTCTCTCCGTCCCCCACTTGCTGTTGTGAAGCATGTGCCCCCGATGCGAACCCCCCTGGGATCATTAAATTCGGGGTCCTCGAGAGATCATAAATCTTCTGTCCTGGCGAATCGCCCGTGGGATATATGACAAAGAAAAGGAAGTCGTCGTCGCCGTCGTCGCGCGACGACGACGACGACGACGACTCAACTCAACTCAGCCACTTTTGGAGCAATGTCCGATAGTTACTGCACTGCTGTCTGAAGCTCGCCTCGACCCTATGCCGAAGGATCAAACTTTGAAGAATTAATAAGATGGGACGAGCTCTGGATACCTGCATCAGGGAGCACTGGCAACAATTGCGCCGCCCAGGGACATGGGTCGGGATCTTTGCAACGCCCTGCTTAGCAGTGGCCTCAGGTGCCACCGAGCACGCGACAGAGCTGGCGGCGGCCTGTAAAGCAACGTTTACGGGCACGAGCCCTGCCAGCACCAAGCCGCGCAGTCTCATGCTGTCTGCCTATCATGAACTGCTGAGAACTGGCAAGACGAAGCCGAGTTAGCTCTTCTTGTCACCCTTTCCGCCGATGACATCCAGCTCCACGAACAGCTCCTGGGCCATGCGCTCCATGGGCCCCCTCGGAGCGGGCCCGATCTCGGGCTGGCCCCCATCAGCTTCTGCCCTCTGTGCGTCGCACTCTCCAGGCCCCCGTGAGTTGTCTCGATCTCGAAAGAGATCTCGCACGTGTCGTTGCCCCCCTCGCCTTTCCTCTTCGCGGGCTTCACTTTGCGGCGCATGACCGCCTCCGCCAGTTCGAGAGCCGACGCCGCCTTCGCCGCGCTGAGATGCGCCCGCGTACTTAGCGAGGCAGTGAGGGCACGCGCTTGCGGCGATTACCTGCACCCAGAGGTCACGAACTCCGCGGGCTGACATTCCGCGCTGCTTCGCAGCCTGAAGACACCTAAAACTCCGCGAGCAGCGATTTTTCTGCGAGATGGGGCCCGCGGACCAACGCCGCGTCATCTTCTGGCGCCGCGCGAGCTGCCAGCGCGCCGCCGTCGCGGTCGGCCTCGCGGGCAAGGACGAGATGATATTCCGCGGAGGGGGCCATGGCAGCGCGGGCGCCCTGGCGGGGTCGAAGTCGAACCGGCAGAAATCGCCGGCCAGATCGATGCGCGCCTGCGAACCCCCCTTCGTCGTCCACGCACTGAACCCCTCAAACAATGTCCTCCTTCGTCTGGTTGGCCCAGGGGTTCGCGCGCGGGTTGAGATCGTTTCCAACGGTGGGATCGCGCGCCTCAAAGTCGCACTCGCCGACGGGCGCCGCGAGGATCTGAGCAAGCCCCCGGGGGCGCACAGCATGCTGTTGAACAAACGTTGAACGTGCATGTCTAATCGTGCAGGTGCACTTCGTCATTGCCGAAGAACGTCTGTCGCGCTCGTGCGACGGTGCATTTCGACATCTTCAGACATGCGCAGAAAATGGGCGGCGCCCAGCATTTCTCTCTCGAGCATGCAAAGCGAGTGCCTTATCTAAGGCCTTATATTTTGGCTGGGCTGGCACTTCGGCCCCCACTCCGTGGATCAGGGCATTACAAACGCAGCAAATCAGCAGGCCTGATTGGGGGGAGGCCAGAAACCACCTGCACATCTGTAAGCGATCAGCGCAGCTTGCTTCCGTCTTAAACTCGTCGTAACTGAGGCCCGCAGCAAGTTGCGCGCCTCGGTGCCCGGCAGAACCGCGACGTTGCGCGGGGTGGGAAAATGGGCCTTCGCGCAGACGCTCCCCCGCGCGCGCGCGGCCAACGCCCGCAATGACTGGCGCGATCGCCTGCTTCCCGCGATTATGTTTCCATCCCATCGCAGAGAGGGCGTCGCCTAAGCATTCGCTAACCGATGATTAAAAAGGTCGGGCCCCCGGGCAGGGGTGGGGGGGGTCAACTACCGCCCCCCGCAATATCTGGCAGCCCTGCGGCGATGAACCCTCTTCCATAACCGAGCCCGCGGCATCTCGAAGGGCGCCCCATTGCACGCTGCCAAAAGCATTGCTTTAAACGCGCACGTGTGAAAGTACGGATCCAACAGCTTCCTCCGCTCTCCAGAGTCTTATCGCGGCCCCGCGATGACCGATTCTGCGCGCTTGCCTGAAGGAAAACCGTGAACCTGGCTGGGAATGTCGGGGGTGGCGCTAATTATGCAATGCCATCCCTTCCCCACTGTGGGAGCCGCGCGGTGCGCACTCCCGCTGAGCTACCGCCAACGGCGCCCTGGTCGGCCGTCCTGGGCCAACTGGCGCCTACAGTGACGTGCTAAAATGACGGGCCCCCCTGAGACTGCCCGACTTTAGCGAAGCCCTCCTCGAAGGCGGCGGTGAAAAGAAGGGCCTCGAGTGGAGGGGGCCCGGCGCCCATTCCAACGATCGGTTTTTCCCAGCGCGCCTCGGGGGCGAGAAAGATCGCCGGCAATTCGAGCGGAGCCGACCGTGGCTCTCACGACGTCGTCGATGCTTTTCCCCAGCATCGAGGGGGCGAACGTACCCCCAGCCCGCCCGGGAAGGCGCCACCAGGAGACGACCTGGTGATCACCCCCCGTAACTTCCGCGCTGGCCGTTGCCTCGGGAAGCGGAGGCTCAGGCAGAAACGGCCTTCCGCGGCCGGACGAGAAACCCTCGCCGCATCCACGCGCACGACGCGTCGCAGTGCAGGGGGGCGGGAGGGTGATCGCGCGCGCTGCGACGCGGCCTGCGCCCTGTGAAGCGCCCTGCCACTTGACGGCAGGATTGCGCGAAGCAGGTCGCCCTGCGAGGCGCCCTGCGACGCAAAGCGCCTTGCGCGGCGCCCTGCTAACGGACGGCAGGCGCTCGGCCCCGCGGGGACGTGGCCCCCCGAGCCTTGACCCAGCGGCACAGTAGGCGCCGACGAAGCCGGGAAAGGCCGCCTGCGAACAACTGCCAGCACAGGCGGCACTGGCAATGCTGATCTTGACCCTGATGTGCGAAGCATCTGCGTCTCTAGATCGCCCATTAATCGAAAAAGCTTCGCCCTCCCCCTAATAGGATCATTTCGGGGGCCCACGGGCCCAAGCTCCCCATCTCCACGGGCCACATTTAGCATCCCTTCCTAAGTCCTCGTCGAGACCTGCGGCTGTGGCGCTCAGGTCATGGCGCTGCCGACGCTCGCGAAACCAATCTGGGGCGCGTCGCGCCTGCGCACCTCCCTCAGCGCCGGGGGCGCCCCATGTCTCTAGCCGCTGCGCGGTGCTCAGACCATTCATTTTCGCGGCAAGATGCGGTCTGCGTTTCGCGCCATATTTATGCTAGCAGCGCGTCGGGCACGAATGCATACTTGTGCAAATGTTTCTCTTTCCATGCGCGCAGCATTTCCTCTATGAGCTCCGCCTGATGATTGCCCCACTCTTGTTTGCACCCTCGCTGGAGGGCTGCCGATAAACAATTCCATTATGTCGTAACTGCCTTCACCTCGTAGTCCTCAGCATGTGCAAGCTCCCCTCGTATCCGATGCCGTTTTGCCAACAGGTCATGTCGGTGGCGACGAAGGGCGTTTATCTGTCATATCGCGGCGGGGTTTTCCGAAATATTTCCTGTCCAGCATCCCTCAATGTGGCCTCCAGCTGTTTTATATATACATATAAAATGGGAGTTCCGAATCCATGTATTGCACGTGTTGCTGGACGTCTGTGGTCACATGATCTGCCGCCTGTTAAAACAAATGCTGCTTGGTGAGGGGGTTCCTGCCCGGATAAGCGTCCATCGCTGCGTCTTTGCACCGCTGCAGTGGGGTCGTTGTATTACGAGGTGGCCCTGCTGGTGGGGAGAAGTTCAAGTGGATCGGCAGGTGATCCATCTCCTGTTTGGTGCTGATCAGTTGTAGCTTGCGTCCAAATCCAGCAAGTGGCCCACACGATGCAATTGTTTGTCGTCGGGCAGCATCTGTAATCAATCAAATGGTTGTGTCCTTGATTTCCATACCACGCGTCCTTAGCAAGATCTGGCGAAACGCTGTGCCTGCGAAGTGTTCCGTCCGAGGTCC